GGATATAAGAGAATTCTAACTACTCTAATTAACTTAATGTTTTTGTTAATCAGTAATTACCAAAGTGATAATAATGACCAAGCATAGTTCAGTTCATGAAACCAAATTCTATTAGCCAAACAAAGAAAAAATGACACCATAATAATCAGCAAGAAAAAAAAATGTGGAATGGTTAGTGTGCAATTCATAAATTTCATTTTTTTTTTTTGTACAAATGGGCGGGGTGCAAAAAGACTAAATTAGATGATTGAAAATAATAACAAATTGTTGTGATGGACAAACACCCACAATTTATAAAATAATCACTTAACAAATATAAGAATATATAAAACAACACATCTTTGGGGCGCATAGCGCCTGTGATGTAAAAATGCCTCTCACATGTGCGTGAGCGCGTCACGTACATGCGGAGAGGCTAGTAAAACCTTAAATCTACAGGTATCTAATTTTCTCACAAACATAAAAACTGGTTTTTTTTTTTAGTTTTTTCTTTTCTTTCTTATAATTCATTTTTAAAATTTATTTTTGATGATGTGGGATGAAGTTCCTTATATACCCCTAGATTTAACAAAAAAAAATAAACGGCGCTAGTGAAAAAGAGCAATGAGACAACACATTATTAATTTCGAGAACTAAAGAAACTAATACGAGAGTTCACACTAAAATTAGACAAGGGATAAAATTCAAGGACGATTGCTACAGTTAATTGATTTCTAAATCATTTTTTTGTAGCATAAGTATTCAACGAATTAAAGAAACTAAAAAGTTAGCAACAAATTAAAGAAATTAAAAAAGTAACTATAGTGAACATTTTGGGAGACAAACACTTATCCCCGATGTTAACAAAAAAAAGAAAAAGAAAAAAAAAATACACTTATCCCCGACAAACAATTTGATAACTCCCTTCTAATGGTTCGGACCCAACTTCCAAATGATGAACATTTTTCCTAATCGGATTGCACATTTGTTTCACTTCCTTAAGGTGAGAAGCCCAAATGCCTCGTGGAATGGCAACCCTAGAAGCTGCCCCAAGGGCACAGCTTGCGGGACCATAACAACATTACCAGTCCGCTCCGACGACGACAGTGCCTTCGAAACCACGGGGATGGCACAGGAGATGTCGGTGGCCGGCAGTAGGCAATTGGCAAGCAGTGCATTTCCGGTCGCAGTGAAATACCTGTTCCAGTAGTACTGTGTTTGAGGAACGCTGTCAATCAAATCGAGATCGATCTCAAAGAGATCATCTTCGTCTTCGATGTCCGCTAGGCCTTCACACAGTCCAGCACATTGCGTGGAAGGGGAACCTTCGACGAGATAAGCCATGGTTGTGGTGGTTTAAGTTTCGTAGATATGCTCTTCCACTTATATATGTGCACATATTTGGTGTTTGGTGGTGAGGTTGGAGTTCGGGTGGGAATTAGAACGCCCTACAACAAATTTACAACGACACTAAAAGAATGTGGAGATTGGTCTTTGAAAGCTACTTCTTCCAAAGTCAAAATCCCACGTATGCCTGACATATACTCTCAAATACTTGTACATGATTTTTCTTTTTCTTTTTTTGGTAACAAGGTAAACGCCCTAAAACTAGTTCAAAGGGTTAATACAAACAAGGCTAGTCCTAGTTCAAGTGGATTCTCAAAATATTAGTACCGGAGATTCATATTATAGCTCCAATTAGTAAGATCACCCTAAAACATTCCTCCCAAAATCAAAACAAATAGAAAAGGACGCTCACCACCAAATCAAATACAAATGATTTTCAAAATTCTAACACACGACAGACATGTACACATCACCTGCCACATCATGTGATTAAAAAATGTTCGATTTCATCACAGGCAATATGGTATTGCAAGTCAAGAAAGACGGAATCTGATTTGAATCAAGAAAAGCTAAAAATCTCAAGAAAAGCTAAAAATCCAGTGTCAATAAGGAACTGTTGATTCAATATCTACCAAAACCACCAAAGTTTGAGCAGTAGACCTAACTACCTCAACCAAACACAAGATATTTCACACCTAGGACACACTGCTTTTAATCCTTTAAGTTTAGTTAACAACCAAAAGCAATAGCTCTCAGGAGTCTAACAATGTGACAAGACCAATCTAGGGAGTTTGGATACCAATCACCTAATAAGTATAATAATTTCTAAAGTTGTCTAAAGCATTAGCCTAAACTCTAAGGGCTCGTTTGGTGGCTACAATTGGAATGGATTGGATAATTCAGAAACAATTCAAGTTATATAGAAGGTAGAGGGAGATGATCAACATACCTTCACTGTAGTGGGTTGTCCATTCCAATCCAGTCCAAACCTAGACACCAAACGAGGCCTAAACATTGAGTATATAAAACCAAGGCCACATTTTCCATCACTAAGTATACAATTCATTACGTTCATATCTTAAGCTAAAACCATACAAGGGATTCAAATAGCATAAGCAATGCCCGATTTCCATCTACAAGTATGGCCACTATATTAACTATTTTTTCTCTTTTCTCATCTTGCAAATTCATCGAAAGTTTAAATTTTCTTGTTTCAGCTATAAGGTTTTGTACATGCAAGAACCCAGAACATACGGGCTACATCTTTGTTAGCCTAAATCAGAAAAACTTAAATCATTTGGAGCTTTGGATTTTGTACCTAACCAGTTAAAATAAGCCTTAGATGACTATTTCCAAACACCAAGAACACGGCGATTTCTTTTACCATTTAATGCAGGTGGCCGTGCGCGTCCAGTTTGCGAATAGCCAACCATCACATTGTTGAGTTGACTATGTCTCAAACTCACGTCATGCTTCAGATGGAACCCAACCACAAACCCTTTAAATATTTCGACATATAGTCAAGCACGTCCTATGCTTCAAAGAGGCTAGATGACAGAGCAACCGATACATTTAGCTTAACTAAGCAGGGAGTGCATAAGCAAAAGGAATCACTTAATTCATGAACTTATAGCAGAATAAAATAAAAACAACAATAGCAACAATGCAACATAATTGAGACAATACAGGACAAAAAATCCATTTATAACAAGTGATAATCATGAGGTAAAACATTTTTTCAAGTAATCCTGACTAAAAAAGATAATTCCTTTCGTCGTGATATCTCCATTTTCTACATATTCCAACATACATTCATGAGATTTCGAATTCACAACATCACATTCACCTAAATCCACAGCTACAGAGATGTTTTAACCCATTCACTATCAACCAACCACCAAAAATTTGCAATACCCAAATTGTTTCACAGCCAATTCTACTAAAATATCACAAGAAGCGAAAACAGAGTGTAAATCAAGAAACAAGCATACGCTATCAAGCCACGATGCTCGTCGCCGCCATCAGCAAGCGCAACCATGAGCCCTGTGCAAACCCTAGTAGCCCACAAGACGAAGACGGCAGCCACGGCAATCCTGAAGGTGCCGCCTTGGGGGACGAAGAGCGAGGCAGCTGATAAGATTACCACCGGCAGCATACAATACCCCACTACGGACGTACATCTGTGCAGATCGAGATTGCCGTTACGCCCGGCGAGCATGTTAAAGACGATGTAGAGGAAAATTGATGAAACGACGATCCACCCGAGTATGACGCCGAACTGAATTTTTCCGGCGAGGAGTTGGAATAGGCAGAGTAACATGTAGAGGAGGATCGGCCCGGAGAGGTCCGAGTCCTTGTGGACCGCCGGGTTGGACCGGAACGGGTTGAGGATGGACTTGGTTTTACTCCAGATTTGGTCAGGGTGGATGCCGAGCTCGTCCAGGAGGGGCTCCTCGTCCTCGAAGGAGGCGGAGCCGCCGGGGACGGTGGAGGATCCGATCGGTCCCCCGAAGAGGGAGGAGGAGGAGGAGGCGGCGGCGGAACCGACGTCGAAGGACATGAAAGGGATGGAGGAGGTCGAGGAGCGCGGGGGCTGAAACGGCGCCGTGGCGACGCGGCGTTGCTGGATGTTGTTGGATCCGACGGCGCTAGGGTTGCCGCCGGAGGGGAATACCACCGGGGGGACGGCGAATTCCTTCGTCATTTCGAGATCGGACAGCGCGGGTGGAAGATTTGGGGAATTTGGGGGCGAGATCGATTAGGGTTTTCAGAATTTGGGGTGGAGCTTTCGAGCGAGGTGGGGAGATCAGTTGAACGTAGCAAGCGGTTGTATTTGGGAGGGGGAGTAAGGGCTTTTTCGACTTTTCATCGGTGAAGTTCGGCTTAATTGGTGTTGAGCTGATGATCTTTGTCGCGCGGTATTGGCTTGAAGTTACAACTTTGCCCCCTTCTGTTATTTGTCTGATACTTCCTTGCTCTTTTAAGTCTTGAGGTAAATTTTTTTATTTTTTATTTTTAACTACATCCTCTTGTTTTCTTTTAACATCTGTATTATCCTTTACACTCATGTTCGAATCGTTTTCGTCATAATTCTGATTACTTCAATTTTCTATAGGGCGTTAGCCGCACTTGAGTTGCAAACAGAACACTAGTTCTCCTTTTATAGTGCTGAAAATCTTGTCATAAACATTATTTTCGAAATTTAACGTCACGCTCAACTTATGAATGTATCATTCACAAATAAAAGTGATTAATTATTTATGTTAACTAGGTTCTTATTAACAATGTAGCATCAATCGATGCTTGAGACTTGGAAAGAAATTAACACATATATGAAATTTTGTCGTTAATGTGATACTAGATTTCAAACTACCATTCTGTCTGAAAATGATTTTATTTTTGAAGTATTATCGCTTAGAAGCACTTTCAGTAAATCACTTTTATTACGAGATCAAACATTTTTAATGTCAATTTTTTTTTTTATCAAATATTGTTACCTGTTGTCTAACAACGGTTTAAAAAAAAAGACACATTAATTTAATGAGCTGGCTTAACTCGCGTCTACGTAGCAAAATCTTGATTAAGATTCATATCATAAGAAAGGGGTAGAGTAGTCCTTTTCGGCTTTTGCTTGATGAGAAAGCAGCATAAACAAGAAGGGGTTAAATTCCAATTAGTCCTTCCGAAAATCCAAGTCGACAAAAAAACCCAGAAAAAAAAAAAAAAAAACTCAATACCAACGACCACAACAGTGAGCGGGAGTCTCCTTCTCTCTCAACTGAAAAATGGACGACGGCGGCGTCTCGAAAGCAGGGGCGGTGGTGGCTTGCGCTGCCATGGCGCTATTCTACGTAGCCGTTCTCTACGCCCCGACCGTAATCCTCCGTCTTCCTCCTCCTCCTTCCTTCAAGAACTTCATGATCCGACGGTTCGTATGCGCCGCCATTTCATCCGTCGTCTCTGTCACCGTCTCCGCCCTCCTCCTCCCTGTAAGTCCGCTTTAACTTCCCAGTTTCGATTGACCCAGTACAGATCTTCAGCATCTTAGATGATCGCTTTGAACAATGTCAGCTCTGTAGCTAGGCTATTTGTAGTAGGAAATTTAGCATATTAGGAAACTGGGTTTTCGAAATTTGACGTTTTTACTGATATAAAATAGATGACATTACTGTTCACAGAAGAACTGTTACTGGGTACACTTATATGTTGACCAATTGCAATTTTTGTTATTTTTTAGCTCACTTTGTTAACATTGTTGAATAATGTCAGATGAAAAGCAGGGACTTATCATCTCTGTTAAGTGTATACGGAATCCGAACAGACCATATTGTGAGTATTATTATGCTAAGATACAATCTTTATATTGTTGGGTTCCCTTTTGGTTTTTAGTAAAACCCTCCTAGTGATTTCCTAAAAGAAGCAGCCGTTTTTCTCTATGTATCGTATGCAGATTGGGAAACGGTGTGAATGCTTGCTAAATTTGCATGCTGAATCGCGATTTTATGTGTGTAACAGTGGCAAGCTGCGGTCTTTCCTCTGTTGTTGACTGCTCTCATGTACGCTGGATCCTTGGTCCTTAAGGCACTAATGCTAGTAAGTTCATGGACAGAAGATATGAATTATGGTGGAGGCTTTTCGTTCGAATATATCAAAAATGTCTCACAAGAGGCTGTTGCCTGTACTCGTACAATGGCTTCCAATGTTTTGGTTTGGCGTAATTATATTGTGGTAAGTTTACTTGTATCTTTGGTGCTGAATTAAATTGATTATTTGTTATATAAACCCTATAACGAATCTATTTCATGTTAACATTTCCTGATTCGTAAGTGGATTTATCACGTGATGAAAATAAAGATTATGGCTACTTTTATCCACATGTATCTTTCTTTGGCTTCAGTTGGAAAAAAAATAGTATTTTTCATATTCATTGGCAGTATTTTTAAACAGGCTCCTATTACTGAAGAGTTGGTGTTCAGAGCATGTATGATCCCATTACTTCTCTGCGGAGGATTCCAAAAATCCACAGTCATCTTTTTCTGCCCCATTTTCTTCAGTTTGGGTAAGTTAAAAAAATGTCATAGTAGATGTCTATCCTGATCAGGTTATTAATCTGGCTATTTACTAAGAGCTGGTGATTGTGTATTAATAGTTTATGGCTTTGGTGACTGACAACCTCTACGTTTACGATTCTGTTAAAGAGCAAAATATTATGCTCGCTGTTTGTATCTGTGGTTACTGGTAATTCATGCTTGTGTATGTGTTAAATACAGTTTACCCATAACTTATATATTCTCCGGATTAGTTCCAGAAACCCTTGATGGTTCACTATTGACCCTCAACGTAAAACTACAAAAGAGTTTGTCTTCTGGTTACTTTTACTCTCTCTGAAATTCCAAATTTGTTAGTGCAGAAAAATCCCTTTGAGATGTTCCTTTGTGTGCCCAATAATTTTTTTTGTCTGCCCTACATGAGTACTCGCTCTGACATTTCATTTAAAATAGTAAAGTTTTTCTTTTGTTTGTCCCATTTGTTGACTGAACTTGGAGTAAATGTGATCTTACTGTGTACGATTAATTTTTGCAGCACATTTAAACCATCTAATGGAGGTCTACAGCAAGCAAAACCATAACTTGATCAAAGCCTTCATGGTTATAGGTATGCTCAACTTTCTCTCCTTGCATGGATAGGGCACAGAGATTCAGCCTAGAGAATCGGTAGCACTAGGCAGTTCCATTATGGAATCCCCTTCCCCTTCTACTTCAGTACATTCAATCTCTGGTATTTTTCACTTATGGCATTTCTGTAAAATTGTACGGTTGTCACCATGATGCTCAATTAATTTGAATGTGCTTTGACAGGTCTCCAGTTGGGCTATACGGTCGTCTTTGGCTCATATGCATCTTTTCTCTTCATTCAAACTGGTAGGTGATAGTTGGTGTTTTCTGATATTATTGTTATTGTCGCTGATATGTGTCACAGCACTATGGGGAGCTTTTTCATTTCCTCTTTTTTCTGTGTGATACTTTTCTATGTCGCTGAAATGTGTTGTATTTTATTTGATGCAGGAAATTTTCTTGCTCCTGTAGTTGCTCATGCATTTTGCAACTTTATGGGATTGCCTGTGCTAGTTTCACAAGGGAAAGGTATGCGAGTACAGTTTCCTAGCAACCAAATGAGGACATAACAACCAAAAAAGATAAAAACTGCATAGCTGAGAAATCATAGAATGTAGTTTTAGAAAATAACCTACTTGTGATTTATCTTTTTCATAGATGTTGATCGTACTTCAGAAACTTGTGCAAGTGTGTTAGTTATTCTATATGTACTATTGTTTGATCTTTTTCATAGATGTTGATCGTACTTCAGAAACTTCATGAAACTTGGGTATCTGCACTGCACGTAAAGAATGAAGAGCAAACTTTCCATTGTTTGATCTTTTACCTAGCACCGTGGAAAATCATGCGTGTAAAAGGAGATGGGGAAGAAACCCAACAAATTGTAAGAAACAAGAATAAAACAAACCGTTCAGATGAAAAGAAGAAATGGGAAAGTTACAACTCTATTTTGGGGCATGGAGTCCTGACCACTGTAGAACATGACATGAACCTAGGTGCCCCATTGAAATCACACACAAGGCGGGCATGGATGCTACATAGAGTCTGTTCTGTTGACACAGTAGCAAACTTAAGCCAAATATTTTCCTTCTTGTGAATAACCAGAACGTCTTTCGGTACAGAGTGAAAATGTATCACTGAAAAGGCCTCTAATATTCTAATGCTGTGCTGTCTCCTTATGGGGATTTGTTTTTTACTATGTTGTGTAAGTTAAATTCTGGGATCTCATCTTTATATTCGTTATTTTCCCAGGGTTAATAGCCGTGGCATCTGTAGCAGGAATTGTGGGTTTCCTGTGGTTACTTTTTCCAATGACGTACCCAGATTTGTATAATGACAGAACAGATAATTGCAGATGCTGGCAAGGATATTGTTCCGGAAACTAAGCCTGTGAAATCTTCGGAATAAATAGGTTTGGTCGATTCTAATTCCTTTTGTAGCATTATTTGGCATCAACTGCTCGTATGATCTGATGTGAGAGTAGCAAAGGATTTTTAGTTTTCTATTTGTATATTCTTTCCTCCTCTTGAACTGAAATCACTCCCTTTTTTGGCTTACTTGAGCAAAATTATGAACTTTTTAATGTACTACAGAGGAATATGAAGCTTACTGTGAGTTGTGCTAACACCAGTCGCTTTTGGGTGTTGATGCTATCACAGCCATCGCTGAGTGTGGGATCCACAGTTGGGTCCTTTAAACATCAATGACTGTGCTAGTCATCCGTCCACGACTGACGCTAGCATATTCGATGCAAAATATTATCCTTGAATAGATTTTTTTTTTTTTTTGAACAGATCATTGAATAGATATTAAGTAATAAGTAGTCTCTTGAAAACCTGTTCAGCTTGTTTGGTTGAAATTGGGCTCTGGGTCGACTTAGGTTCAACAAGTTGGGTTGGACTGGTCCATCAACTAAATGTATGCCCACAATCATCTCCACGGTCCAAGATTTGGTTCACCAACCCGAGTTTATGAAGGAAAAAAAAAATCCTAAATCCATTATTCTAAATTGTAATTCCCATGCAAACGTGGTCGTAGCCACATTGGCTATAAAATGTGCCCCTTCCTATACACTCAACAGAAATGCCCCTCCTTACCGTTTAAATTTGTTTAAAATAGAATCTCTAATTCTAATCCTCGCTTTATATCTCGGTTGTGTCTATCTTATACATCAACTTTTGTATCTGAACTTGGGAATGCTCTAAATGAAGAGGAATTCTCACATTCCTGTTTTATACACCGATTGTCTTTGCCTTATGCATCAAGTAAACGTGTACGACGAATGTGTGAGGAATACAACACTGGTACATGAAATCGGTGTAACCAAGTTTTCTCCTTGACGAGCTAAGAAATTAGACATGGCACTGATTGATGATCAAGGGAATGTTCAATTAACAATGTTGAATCAAATCAATCTGTTAAAGTACTTTAGGTGTCTAATCGATTGGGCCACATAACCCTCTTCAACATTTCAAACATCTTAGATATTGTTATGATGGCCAAAATCTTTAAGGATACTACCTTGTAAATGAAGGTCAATGCTGATGCAAAGAAAATAATAGCTAGACAAATTTGGCATCATAGCAAAGAGAAAACCCATTCAAACGTTAGGGTTCATTCAAATACCCTATATCCCTATTCTACTTTAATTTTCCATATTTAATGGATTTAGGTCTCAATTTTATCTTACTAGCAAGGACCTTTTCTTGGAAGTGAAACCTGTTTACATGATCATTTCTCATATCAATAACACATTGTTATATAGAAAAGTTAAAATATATAACTTTTGACTTGTTTGAAATTGTTTTCAAAATAACTAAAAGTGTTTTAGATCACTAAAATCATTTCTGATAATGTTTGGCACAAAAAGTTCAACGTTCTTATGGAAGAAGCACATGCTTTTAAAAAGCAATTCAAGTGTTTTTATAGGAAGAACTTGTATTTTTATTAAAATTTTGATTTCCTTCTAATAGAAGTGCTTATTACTAGAAGCACCTCTGAGCTACAGTGTTCTTCAAATAAACAGTTGTTTGAGAATAATATCTCATATCAGGCATATGCCAAAAAAAAATATTCACTTAATATATGGGACTTTCGATCCCTAATATCACTAAGGTCTTTTATGATAAATCTCAACCCCTAGTAATAATTGATTATATTCAAACAATATTGATGATGTTGGTGGTAAACTATGCTAAGCCTAATTTTTTTATTAACAACTTAGTCTAAGTGTAAGTAAGTCTTCATGTTCTTGGTTTTGGAAGGAGGAGCAATGTATATGAAACATGGAAGATGATCCTCTCCTGAGCTTAGGATAGGGATCCTCATGATCAGCCCACCTGGATCGTTCAAATTTAATCCAACGGTTCCAAATAGGGAGACCTTCTAAAAGTTATAATATTGCAATTGTTGGATTAAATTTGAACGGTCCAGATAAACTGGTCAGGAGGATCCCCATCTTGAGCTCATGAGAGGATCCTCCTCCATGAAACATGTTCACTTTTACGTAGCGTTTTGGTCTAATAGTATAATATTATTTAGAGAATAACCTACAAATGACAATACATTATTAAACTAAAATATCACGATAGATATTAAACTCCTTTCATAGAAGTTACCGAAATCTCAGTCATGATGCCTTGATGCTATTTTCAACCTCCAAATTGATTTTGCTGAGTTGGTGATGGGGGTGGTAAGGTGTCATTCATTAGTAGCCACAGGATTAGGAGGGAGAGAGGGTTTGTTAGACACAATCGAGTTCTGATTAGACATTCTTTATTTCCTGATAGATTTCATTTCATATGTGTGTGATGGTCAAACCAAAACGATATGCCAAGAGACTAATGTCATGTCCATGACTTACATATTTGATATTTTGTGGGTTACCACTTTTATTTTTTCAAACTTCATAAACCCACATCGACTCTGTTTACTGAATCTTTTGATGACGTTGGTCCTCTGATTAGATCCTCCCCTATCAAACTCGGTTCTCAGTCTTATAGAATCTGAATGAAAAGGCTCTTTTTCAGATTAAATTATGATTTTTTTATTTCTAATTATATTTTATGCTGTTTAAGTTTGGAGTGATTTTCAAAATGGACTACGAAGTTTTGATCATTTTTTTATATTACATCTTAAACTATTCAAATTTATCAATTTGTACTTTCGATTGGAATGGTTGTATGATAATTTATTCAATTGATACGTGATGAGTTTGACACCTTTATCTAGACTAACATGTAAGTTACATTTGCATCGTATTGACATAAAAATCATTATTTTGATGGAGGGTTAGACATTCAAAGAGATATGATGTTTAACTTGATACGATTTCAAAACCTTAAGGCGCAATCTAAACAAACTGGAACCCATTACCCATTTTGAAAATTACTTCCAACCTAAAGGGTGTGTAATGTAATTAGCCTTTTTTCTAATGGAAAGTAATTTCTGTACTCCATTTTGTTATCCTACACTTCTTTCGTCAATTCTATCCATGAGTGTGTTGTCTACACATCTTTTTTTACTTCTCACATACTTTATTAATTTATGTCATTTAATCTTCTTTAATTCAGTCAATCTGACGGCCGCAAATTAAAAAAGTGTATGAAGTAAAAAGAGATTAGTGGATATCACACCCCTTCTTTCTATTGATAAACCTTTGGTTTATCCAATGTAAATTATGCAATGACTATAAAAAGAATTAAGAGAGTGCAGATGGTGAACATGGAGTGCAGAAATTAGTAATTACCCCTTCTTGCTAGTGAAGGACGATTTGTTTAAGAAGATATTGTGGGGTCTTTAGACCTAAGTTTGTGCTGGTGTTTAGTTTCAATGCTGGAGTGTAGCTCCTCTATTGTACTAAAAAAATTACATCCCTTTATTTAATAGGATTAAGATTCGGGAACACATATTTTCACATACATTTTGACACAAGTTTTTGTGATGTTCATTCCATAATGTATTTCAGTGATTCAACCGTCTATCTTTTATGTCTTAATTCAAAAATCATGTCTACAAAAAATCATGCAAATCTAAAACCATATGATTGTTGGATTAGATTTAGTGTTTCTTTGCACTACAAATGAATGTCTTATAGTTTTGGATTTGTATAATTTTTTTGCAAGGATGATCTATAAATGATGAATTAAAAAATAAACGATTCGGATCCTTGAAAAAAGTTACTAAATGCAAGCCACAAAAACGTGTCACCAAATTCATATGAATCATTTGCGAAACAATACTGTATTTTATTTTAATGGAGGACATACATGAAATGGTAACGGAAATATGACAAAGTTTCAAACCTATTATGCATCGCTATATATTTTAACTTTTACATATAAAATCACATGATTGTTTTAGAAAATTATCACATTACCTATTTGTTTGCGTCTATGTAAGTTATCCTCCAATTTTAGTTGCTTCTCAATACGTGGTGTGAGATTTAGTTGTACCGTTACGTGTGTTTCATGTTGCTTACTTTCTTTAGAAAGAATCTGTCCTTCAATCAGAATACATTTATTTACACCTTATATTATCAATACATGATGTAAATACAAGTGAATATATTTCCGATGACGCAACGAATTTTCTCTTTTTTCTTTTTTTGCTGTTTAAATTATAGTCTCCGGTACAAACCAGTTAACCAGTTAAGCTTTTGGCTTTATACACATTTGGATCACTTTGCCATGTGATTTACCATATCATACAACATACTGTGGAATTTACTATTTGCCAAATCCAACTATGTACCATTTCAGATGCTTCTTTAAAAGGGTGAGAGATATTTATCAACATTTTCTTTAACTTTTTTGGATAGTGGGATTCATGTGTCGGTGTAAAGTTACATTTTATTTAAGTTTATCTTCTTGAATGGACATGCTTGTATGAATTGGTGCAAGAACAATAGTTCTAATTTGGATATTTAGAGAGAGAGAGACGAGAGAGAGAGGAAGAGACATAAATTTTTTAATAACCCCCCCCCCCCCCAAAAAAAATTACCCAAATCCGGAACCATATGATTGTTGGATTAAATTTATTGTTTTTCGTAGAACTGTATTCGTCATTTTCTTCGCTACAAATGAATATCTTAGTAATTTTGGATTTGCCAAATTTTTCGCAAGGATGATCAATAAATGATGAATTGAAATATAGATGGTTTGGATCCTTGAAAAAAATTATAGAATGGGAATCACAAAAATATGTGTCAAAATGTGTGTCCTTGGATTCAAACCGTATTTAATATGAATCATTTATGCGACAAAATAATTTATATATTTTAATTGAAAGAAATACATGAAATGGTAACAGAAATAAGGCAAAGTTTCAAACCTATCATGCGCCACTATATGTTTTAACTTTTACATATAACATCACATGATTGGTTTAGAAAACTATCACCTTACCCATATGTTCACCGTCTATATAATTTATTCTCCAATTTTAGTTGCTCCTAAGTACGTGGTGTGAGATTTAAGTTGTACCATTACGTGTGTTTCATGTTGCTTACTTTCTCTAAAGAGAATATGTCCTCTAATCAGAATGCATCTTTTAACACCTTATATTATTATTACATGATGCAAACACAAGTGAACATATTTTCGATTACACAATGAATTCTCTATTTTTTTTTTTTGGCTGTCTAAATTATAGTCTCTGGTACAAACCAGTTAGCCAGTTAAGCTTTTGGCTTTGTACACATTTGGAACACTTTGCCATGTGATTTACTATGTCACACAACTTATTGTGGAATTTACTATTTTGCCAAATCCAACTATGCCTACCATTTCAAGTGCTTCTTTAAAAGGGTGAGAGATATTTATCCTCATTTTCAACTTTTTTGGTTAGTGGGATTCATGTACCGTTGTGACATCCCATTTCATGTAAGTTGATATTCTTGAATGAACATGCATGTATGCATTGGTGCAAGACAATTGTTCTAATTTGGATATTTAGAGAGAGAGAGAGAGAGAGAGAGAGAGAGGGAGAGAAATAAAGCTAAAATAATATTTATATTGCTTGCTAGATAGCTTGATACATCCTTGTACTGCAGATATTTTTAATAACCCCCCAAAAAAAGAACTACTGAAAAAAGATAGGGAAATAGAAGCAGAAGCATCCTTTGGCGCAGTGCAAAAGATACACACTACAACTTCATCTTGTCCTATTTTGTATCTAAAGCTGGAACTACAACTGTTCACTAAAAATATTACACAAAAAAGAGGCTAAATCCTCCTCTTCCTCCTACCGGGGTCATCACATTTTTACTTAATTTTAATTAATTTTATCAGATAATTAGCTGGTTGAACCAGTAGCATTTGGGTTGGAGGAAGAGCAGAGATTGAGGTCAGGAATGGTATTCCCAGCTGCTGCAGCTGCATTGGCTTTTGCTTTTGAAGAAGTACTTTTGGACAGCTTCTGCTTAAGCTCGGAAAGCAATGCTTGATTCTCCTGGTTCAGCAGCTGTGCTTTCTTCCTCAGCCTCTCATTCTCTTTCATTATGTAGCAGTTCTGCAAGTACAGCTTCGAGTTCAATCTGTCCATTGCTGTGAAATTTTGTCTTCAATTCCTGTGTTGCCCCTGAAATCAGAACCAAAAAAAATATAAAAAGGGTATCTCAGATAATGTTATTTAGTAGCTTAAACATTTTATATGTGTTTCACATGAAGACAATAACATTATACTATAAAAAAATGCAAAAAAGAAGTTATTAAAAAAAAAGGAAAATGCAATATGAAATTAATGGGAGACATTGGATCAAAGAAATGTTACCCAGAAACAGATTAGAATTTGTTGGAAATAACTTTGGTTTGTGCAGTGCTTTTGTTGGAAGCACTTATGACAGTTGCACAAAAAGAAGGTGATGAAAACAGGGAAAAGCAGAGCAACTTAACAAAATTTGGAGCACTTTGGTCAGATTAATTATGTATGTGTGTGTGTGTATTGGTGCGTTGTTTTGCTTGTAAAGGAAAAGAGAGATGGAATCATAAGTGGTCTAAAACTGCACTCAAGGAAAAAAACAATGGGCTCTTTCGGCTTCCCACACATGAAAGGAAAGGATCAAAAGTTATGTATTCAAACTGCAAAAACTTCAACTTCCTGGTTTGATCACAAGAGCATTCACAAATAATACAAATCTTACCCTTTTCCACATTCAAGAAGTTGGTAAGAACGATCAAAAGATTATAAAAATAAGAACAAAAATTGTTTAGTTCTTTTTTTTTGGGGGGGGGGGAAGGGGGGGAAGGGGGGAGAGAGAGAGAGAGAAACCATTTCAAATAAAAAGTGTAGGAGAATCCAAGATGTTAAACGTTTCTAAAGGCAGGAAAAGAAGAACACTAAACCAAAAACAATGTGAACTACGAAGAACATAAAAATAGTAAGCAGGAAAAAAGAAGCATCGAGAGATAGAGGTGTGTGTGTGTGTGTGTGTGTGTGTGTTATATTTGTTTAAGTAAGATGAGTAAAGAAGTGACCTCTAGACGGTTGGGTTGGTAAGAGAGCTTTGGGGCCAAGAAGCAAATCTTCCGGTTCTGTAACAAGTAGTAGCAGTGAGAGAGAAAAAGGAAGAGTTCGGTGTGAGGGACAAAAGGAACAAAGAGGGCCTTAATTTATAGAGCCAATGCCACTACTACTAGTCCTCCTAGAGAGAGAAACAAAGCAACCATATGTGAGAGAAGAGAGAGAGAGAGAGAGAGAGGGTTGTCCTTCCTCATGAGGAGAGAGAGAGGAAGGGAAGGGGACATGCCCGTCTCGATCTGACACAACAATCATGCATGTGTAAGCATGGAAGGCGGCCGGTTAGGGGCCTAAAAGATTTTAGTGTTTTTTGTTTTCTATGATGATGATGATGAATATGGCGTCATGCGAATGATGGTTTTTTGGGTTTTGCAGTAAAATAAATAAATAAATTTATATAAAAAAAATACTTGGGAAAAAAAAGAAAAAAAAATAAAGGGCATAGTAGGGGTATTTTGGTCATAAAAGTGGATATGGAAGAAGAGTAGAGGGACAATTATGGGTAGCTAGGGTTTTGTAAATGATGGGGGAGCTAGGGCCGTCCCAAGATTCGCAATGATGGTTTGGATTGGCTTTCCCTTCCCCTCCCTTCTCTTATTTCCTCCATCATCAATTACAATTTCTACCATTTTTTACAATTATTTCTTATTTCTTGTTTCTCTACTAACTACTATTTTGGTCCCTTTTTTTTATTCCCCTTTCATTTCATAATTCTCGTGTTGGGACTGTTGGAAATAATCAATTTCAGCCATTATGGTTTTTGGTTTCCCTTCCCACCCTTTCAAGATCAAAAAATTCAATATGCATTTTGTCATTTTGGTCAAGAAAAAATCTATCTCATATCTTTTAAGTCCTATCAAAGATTTGAATCCATTATCCTTGTTACAAGAACAAATTTACTTGCATATACATTGAGAAAGATTTGAACTTGAATATAGAGAGGCAAACGTATTATCATGATTACTTGATCTAACTCACGTCTGTTTATATTTAGATATATATATATATGTGTGTGTGTGTGTGTGTGTATTAATTTAATAATGTTAATTTTCCTACTTTAATATACGTTGTAGAGGATTCGAATTTAGATGTATGGAGGCAAACACACGACTTCGCTTAACTGATCGAACCCTCACATGTTTTCTTAAATGTAATAGTTGAACGCTCCTCTTTATCGAATTACATGAATAAACGAAAATAATAATCATGATTAAAAATGAGTGTTAAAAAATGGGGTGTGATATCCACATACCCTTTTAATTTTCGACCGTCGGATCAGATCAATTAAAGAAGATCAACAGACAGAAATTAACAAGGGGTGTGTGAGAAGTAATTTGGGGTGTGTGGATAGCACACCCCTAAAAAATATGTGTGTTTTAGGTCTTTTCAAAGATTTTTTAATCCATTATCCTTATTACAAAAGAAAATTTACTCATATATTATATATACACTTTGAGAAAAATCCAAACATAAATACAAATTGACAGATATATTATGCTAATTGTCTAGTCTAGTTCACGTTTGTTTATATTTAAATATATTAATTTGATAGTGCTAATTTACCTACTTTAATATGCATTGTGGAGCCACTTAGTATTACGATCTAGTGGTATTCTTCTTCACTTGTAAGGGAGAGGTCTTAGGTTTGATTCTCATCAAAGGCGAATTTGAACAGCAATATTACTAACTCATTATGAGGCTTAGCCCACCCCCTCCTCTTAGACCATCTCCAACCCTGGGCTAAAAGCCAAATTACCCCCCCCAAACACTCTCGAACCCATGCTAAAATTTTAGGCTAAATGCCAAATGCTATTTCTGGGCCAAATACCCCCCAGCTTTTCCCCCGGGCTAAATGCGAAATGTTTATCGGAATTTAAATTTTTTTAGATTAAAATGTTCATAAAATTAATTTACAATAATCTACATATTTATTTTTTTAAAAACAATTGATTTAAGAAAAAAATTTAGGCTAATTTCATTCTTTAATAATTCCGGGCTAAAATTTTAGGGTAGAAGGGTTGGAGCAGAAAATATATTTCTGGGCTAAAAGCTAAATTTTCCGGGCTAAAAAATTTGGCTTTTAGCCCAAGGGTTGGAGATGGTCTTAGTAAAAATAATATCATTTGTTCAAAAAAAAATGTACGATGTGGAGGATTTGAATTCAGGTACAAGGAAATTGACACACTACTTTGCTTAACTAATCAAACTTGCACCTGCTTTTTAAAAGTATTAATTGAAGGGAGATAATTTTGACACTCCCTTTAGCATCTCTTACAATCTTTTTTATCGGATTAAATAAATAAAACGAAGATAACGTTCATAACTAAACACAAATGTATGAGAAATTAAAAGTTGTGTGTTTACCATTTTTCTTAATTGAATAGTGTTAGTGTGCCTAGAGCATTGTTTTGTGACAAACTCATTACCCCAAGTGCGAATCCCTATTGCTTAAAAAAGGTGCCAAAGAAGGGTATCCCTTTAGTAGGCCTATCGGTCCCTTAAGCACACAATAAAATGACCATTTTACCCTTATACGTAACTTGCACGGTTTTTCACCAAATCGATGGTGTTTTGTTTTACGTTATTACAATCATAATTATAGACCAAGGTAAAATCATAAGAAAAAAAGCAGGTTGTTTTTTGCCCAATTTAGGGGTGTGAGCTTGAAAATATGGTGCTATCGATACACTTTATTTTACGTTTTATACATTTATATTAATTTTTATCTTTTAATAATTTTTAATTCATTTGATCTGATGATCGAAAATTAAATCTGTGAGAAAAGTTGCACAAGGTGTGTGTAGAGCACCACCCCTTATAAAAATGGTGTGTAGAGCGTTAGTTTTATGGGGCAGCCAGCTTCGAGCCCTCATGGATTATCAGTGGCTTAACGTGAAAAATCATGGTTTGACAGGTGGTGTTTTGGAAGGGTCTATCACATGAGGGTAGAATTGTCCAACTGCCTTCGTGTCCCTCGTGGAGTTCGTTCATTTCAATCCTCATTTGGGGCTGTGTTTACCTCAATCTAATTATGGATTTCAATAGCACTTTTTTAATATGTTGAAAATACGGCGTGATACATCAAGCGGCATATGATTACGTAAATTAATATCATAAAAATCTTAAAATTTAGTACATGTGTGTTATCTTATTATAATTCATTTCAATTTTTCAAAAGAAGCTTCTTTTTATATCAAATAAAAGTCATTTACAATTTCTAAAATCATAGCAAACATCCTATTAACAGATAATTATGAGATATGATATATGCATAACTTACTAATAATTTGGTACATTATTAGTACGTCATGTACTCTAATTTGAGTATGTATTAGTATTTTAGTACGTTATAAAAAAAACTAATTTTGGTACGTTACGTAACTCTTTATTTGATATGCACAAAACTAATGATATGTATGTGTAACCATAAGATAAGATAGGATTTTTTTTCTTCATATTATTGGAATAAGGACTCATATTTTACAAAAAAGAAGAAGAAAACTTTATGAACATAAAATAAATATTTTGAAAAACTATTTAATAGTTGGATTTTAATTTTTTTTGTTCAAAAACAAAAAAATAAAGTTGGACTTTAATTTTCATTTCATATTATTTTAAAGATTAAATGTTATTAACCTTTATACGTCAAGAAAACTAAGATAAAACATTTTTTTTTGGTTGGGTAATAGCTTGTCTAGCCCTCTACTTAGATCTGCCACTTGTTTGGACAAACAATTATGAATACAAATCATTTAGGGTCTCATGATACACAATAATAGTATTTCTTGTCAGACAACTTGGCATATGTAAAAGACGATTGATTAAATCAGATTAGTGTCGTAACATAAGTATCCTAAATTCCTAGTTACAAATAGAGTATACTGCCGATTTGCCCCCTGAACTATCACCCAACTTTCGATTTCCCCCCTGAACTTTTTAATTGGAAAATTAAGGACTTAAACTAATTTTTTTGGCCGATTTGCCCCCTGCTGTCAATTTTTCATTCATTCCATCCAAATTTTTGTTAAATGGAAGCATATGCACAACATGTGTGGGTAG